CACTGTCTGCGATTGCGCGTCAGCTCTCATTGGCTGTGGGGGATAAGTGTGCGGGGGGGGCAGGAGGGCGCAGGGCAGCATGTTGACAGCCGCCCGCTGACATAATTCGTCGCCCGACACCGTTTGAGCGGCTCCGGCGGAGGTTCGGAGGCTCGTCTCCACCATGTTTCTCTGCCTGTCCGCGGCGGCTCACGCTCCTAAGTCCCCGGGCTCGTTCCTCGGGGCGAGCAGCCGGGGGGACGTCACATTACGCAAGGGCCACGCGCTCCCGCGGTACCGGTGTTTCTGCGTATCCGTCCGGGCCGGCGATGCGAATGGTGTCCGACTGGGGAAACAACAACAACAACAACAACAACAAAAGCCCCCCGTGCGGCGACCTGTGGAGGACCGGGACTCGTGTTTGCGCCCTCTTGCGTGGGGACACTGGGACCGGATGGCGGATAAACACGCGGATCTCTGGAGACGCGTGCGAGGCGGAGGCGCCGGTCACGCAGATATGATCGCGCCGCGGCTCGTGCGCGCGAACGGAGGTGGGCTGCCGGCTCCGGGTTTGTTTACGGGTGACTGGGGGGGGCTCGGTGGGCTCTGCTACGCCGGGACAATGCACACCAGAGGGTTCTCCACGAAGAGGAGCGACGGCGGCGAGGAGCACACGGCTAACCACAAAGGGGTAATTCATTAACTAATATTTGTTTGACCCCCCCCCCCCAGTGGCAAGTTCGCACGGGCGCTCATTTCCCAGTCCCTCCCTTGTGCACGTTTGTGTGTATGTCTCCAAGTGTCCAAGGGGGGGATGTTAAACTCAAAATCATAAAATATGCAAATAAAAGTTCAACCGTCTGCCTGCCAGACGGGCTTAAGGTTAAACACTGCGTGGCCACGTGGCCTGTCAACATCTGCAGGAAATTGACAACACCAGTCGTTGCACAATCGATCCCGTCTTCACAACCTGAAGGTGACGTAGCTGAGGCGTTGTTTACAGGGTTGGGGAAGAACATTGCTGAGTCACCGTTCAACTGGTCCCCAGGAAGAAGGACTGGCAGAGAAGCTGATCGACCGGATTTCTTTTATAGAGGAGTCATAGTAAGAATGAGTCACTGTGTCCAAAAGACATTTCATTTAAATGGCAGGTACTTTGACACTTGAGCTTAACACAGAGGTAAAATGTGGTTGATCTCAACCTGCAGCAAGCAGTTCTTACAGGGCACAACAAACACAACTATACTGTATTATTACTGAATTATGCAGGCAAAGCGTTTCAGGTTTATTCTGAATTACATAATTATTATGTTGGATAATTACAAAAGAACACCAAGCAGCTCTCCCGCTGTGACAATGCCAACATGCCTGCTGTGAACATGCTAACATGCCTGCTGTGAACATGCTAACATGCTCGCTGTGACGATGCTAACATGATCGCTGCGACGATGCTAACATGCTCGGTGCGACGATGCTAACATGCTCGCTGCGACGATGCTAACATGCTCGCTGCGACGATGCTAACATGCTGACTTTCAGCAGGTCTGTTGGCCACGTTAACCACCACCGTCAGTCGCTATTTGTTATGCTGGGGCTGATGGAAATTAGCTTTCTAAACACGATATGACAAAACAACGTTAATGAAACATTCAATTTTAACCTGGTGATGGTGTTGGAGGAAAAGTCAGGGAGTTGCCAAATAATTAGGATTCCTCATCTAGGCATCACAACTGTTAACAAATGCAACAGATATGTCACTCCAGCACAAGTGGTCGACCGGCCTACGTTTACTGCTACCCTGGCTGCAAAACCCTGAGAGACAATATACAACACTTTGCTTCAAGTTCAAGTTCAAGTTCAATTTTATTTATATAGCACATTTAAAAACAACCTCAGTTGACCAAAGTGCTTAACAAGCTCGAAAAGCAGCGATACAATAAAACACAGACAGAGCACAATGTACAATACAAAATAACTGACAGTAGAGAAGAACAAAGTCAAAATATCAAAGCTCAACTAGAATTAAAAGCCAATGAATAATAGTGGGTTTTAAGGAGGGACTTGAACGTTGCAATGGTCCGAGCTGTTCTTACATGGATAGGTAAACTATTCCAGAGGTTTGGAGCAGCCACTGAAAAGGCTCGGTCACCTCTGGATTTTAACCGGGATCCAGGCACATCGAGGAGCATCTGATTAGACGACCTCAGTGCTTTGATAGGTGTGTGGACATGTAAGAGCTCCGACAAGTAGGAAGGCGACAACCCATTTAAAATTTTAAAAACAATTAATACAATTTTAAATTCAATCCTGAAACAAACAGGAAGCCAGTGGAGGGTGGCCAAAGCCGGTGTAATGTGGTCGCGTTTTTTTGTCCTGGTCAAAAGTCGAGCTGCTGCGTTCTGGACTAACTGCAAGCGACGAAGGGATGACTGATCCAACCCAACATACAGTGAATTGCAGTAGTCTAAGCGGGAAGTAATGAATGCATGCATGACTCTCTCAAAGTCTTTGCGTAGCAAGTAGGGCTTGACTTTAGCCAGAAGTCTCAGCTGGAAGAAGCTAGTTTTGACAACAGAACTAATCTGTTTGTCAAGTTTAAAAGCACTGTCAAAAATCACTCCCAGATTTCTGGTAAAAGGACGAATTTGGGAGCCTAAAATACTGAGAGAATCTACACAGGCACTGAGATGTTCAGCACGTCCAAACACAACAACCTCGGTCTTACTGTCATTAAGACAGAGAAAATTCTGATCCATCCATACTTTGAGATCACTCAAGCAGTTTATCAGCGGCTTGATAGTGTCCTTCTTATTGTTTTTTACAGGCAAGTAAATTTGCACATCATCAGCAAAACAATGGAAAGAGATGTTGTGTTTTTTTGCTTTTTTTGCTTGCAGGTAGTGAAGCTATATTTTAGGACTGGAGCAATGAGAAATTCCTGATATGTTCTTATTGCAGAAACTATTGATACTGATGTTTGCTGACAACACGTAGCCAATTCCTGTGGTGCGGCCCGGTACCAATTGGCCCACGGACCATTTTTTATTTTGAAAACTGACTGGATTCTCGTCAGTTTCTTGCTGCCGTTTCTGTTAAGTTTGACTTCATCTTATCAACTTAAACACTTTAGCTTCTGCTTGAGGGACCCCCCCCTCTGCTCTATCCGTGTGCATGTGCGTGCACGCGAGTGTCCGTCTGTATTTGCATGCGTTTCCTTGTCTCTCAAAAGCTGTTATCAAACACAGCAGTGCCACTGTTCACCCTCCCCGGCACAACTCCCCATGGCCGCTCGCTCACATGACCCTCCCATACCGCTGCCTCGCCTTTTGGCTGGGCTCCGCGAGGCGAAGGCCTGCTCCCTCGCCCACTCTTTCCTCTCCATTGTCCATTGTCGGCAGGCCGGTGGATACGTCACCGAGGCCGTGGCTCCGTCCAGGGGGCTCGGGACAAACCGGACGATAAATTATCGACCTCGGGCCTCGAGAGGAAGACATTCTGAAGCGAGCTGAATGTCAACAAGAGGGGAGATGGATGTAAAGGAAAGTTTCTGTATGTGGGGCACAGCAGCAGCACATTCTGTAGAAGTTACCGAACGTTTTTTGGCTCATAATTGTGTTTTTGCACACTTCAGGACAGTCATTCACCCGTGTACTTTGTAACTTTTTTTTTTCAAGAGAATTACATTTGCAAAGTACCTATTAGTTTTGGATTTAGCTACTTCCTGTTTTCTCAGGACCGGATTGTGTTTCCTGTCTATAAAGGAGTTGTTTGGTCTCAGATGCAGCCGATGACCTTGAGGACCTTGAGGCAATATACCCCTGGTATATTTAATCATAATCATAACCTCTAATCAGCCTGCAAGTATTTTGTTGCAATTTCATTTCCACAGCAGCATTGATTGGGCAACTGGGTGACCTCCTACTTATACTTTGGTCAAATATTTCCTGATTCAGGTCTCACTATTATTTGTGTTAAAATATATATATATATATTTAAGAATGCTTCAACTGTAATTCAGTATTATTTTCTTTAACTTAATTGTGCTTTCATGAGACACTTTCTTAGTTTGTGGAGCTGAAGGGCCTCATGATATTTATTACAATAAGCTGCCAGAACAAGTGAAGTGAAGATTGCTGTTTCACGCTTATTTACCACACTCAATGTCACACTGACCAAAGCGAGTTCCTGGAAAAAATCTGTTTCATATTAAAGGGATATTTAGGTTTGCCGTGACGACGTGTTTCCACATCCAACAGCAGCTTTAACTTTGTTCGTAACAAACGGTAACGGTTTGTCTGTGCCGGTTCTGCTGCTTTAAGCATTTTTGATGACTCATTATTTGACAGCGGGGTTTGTGTCTTGGATCCTCCAGGAACGTGTCTGCAGGTCACAAACGCTGAGTGTGTGTGTGTGTGTGTGTGTGTGTGTGTGTGTGTGTGTGTGTGTGTGTGTGTGTGTGTGTGTGTGTGTGTGTGTGTGTGTGTGTGTGTGTGTGTAAGAGAGAGACTGACTCAGTCTGAGTGTGTGAAAGGGTAAATTATCACGTGAATTAGCTAAACCGCCCAGCAGCCTGTTTAATCAGCTGACTCGGCCTTGTTTGACTTGTACATCACGACCTCAACTCTGTGCTCTATCTAGTTCACAATGTTTCTTTCTTTTTCTTTGTATTGTACTTAAAGTGAAGAGGATGTTTTCTTTTTACAGCGCTACTTATTATCCAAAACTTGTCAGTGATTCTGCAGAGGAAAAGTAAATTCTTGACTTGATTAAAGATTTACTGTTTCATATCCGTTTGTATAAATCGTGGATGTGGTTCGTGACATTCAGAGGATTTTCATGGGTCGAAGGCCAACAGCTGCAACCCTCCACCCTTTTAAGGTCAAAGGTGATTGGAATGTTCACATATTTATTGCACCCGTACATCATGAATGAATGTGGCCTTCTGTTGAGGTCAGAGTGAGAAATGACGGTCAGGTTTCCGCGTGACCCCCTTCATACAAACATCGTCACGTCCACGTGATATTTTTTGGTTGGTTCTTTGATCTTTTCTGCTTCGTGGGATAGAATCCCAAACACAAACTGCCATTAGTTAAATCCGCAGTGAAGCCATCTTTGGCGCTGGACCGTTTTGTAGTTTCAGGGAGTTCTTGGAACTCCTAACAGGAAAAGTTTCCCGATTTACGTACCCGATGTGGAAACCGTGCCCACGAATTGAAACCACTTCCTCGCTCTGCTCCCCTCATCTCACTTTGGGCTCGTCCCCCTCCACTCAATTGTGCTCTCTTTTCAAACAGGAATTCAAGGAGGCCTCTTCTACTTCCCCATCTGCAGCGACGCTCCCGGGGGAGCCGCAGCCAGAGGGAGGAAAACCAAACAAGACCCAGCAACTGAAGAAAGTCTTCAAGGAATATGGAGCGGTGGGAGTTTCCTTCCACATCGGGATCTCGCTCATGTCCCTGGGAATGTTCTATCTCCTCATATCCAGGTGACAAAGCATCAGATTTTAGCCCGTACATGTATAACTCATGCGTTCTACATCTGGTCTCTTTTACCAAGTCAATAAACTGGACTCTACATCACGCGTTATGAACAACGTGTTCCACATACCGTGACCTTATCTGGTGCTATTTTGTTTAGTTGATCGTTTGGCCCGGAGCAGCACTGGACAACCTTAGTTTGAGTAGAAGCATCGGCGTGGCCGAGTGCCAGCAGGGACTTAAACATTCCTTACAGCCGACGATGACTCTCGAAGTAAACTCACTGACTGTGAGAGCCGTTGAGCATCATCGCTGTGAGGCCACGTCGCCCGGATGAGGTTTTGTGTTGATTGAAGCAGCTCTACGCCTCGTGTTTAGTACTATTTGCATATTCCTTTTGCCAAACAGCTCAGATGAAAATACACCGACTCTACAGAACTGTTTCACAAAGGCAGTGAAAGATGTAGCTGGTTAAACCCTCTTTGGTTTTGTCGTTTTTCTTATGCTAATGTAATCAGTTTGAGGTTCAAAAGGCCACAAAATGAATTATGCAACATTATTTTGGGAGCACAGCTCCCTCTGGTGGAAATCATGTGACTTTGCATCCGAAGTACTGATGCAGAACCCAAAGAGACGATGGGACTTCACTTGTTAAATCTTTTGAAATCTCAGAGGATGTGAATGCTTTTCTATATTTTACGCTTCAACGCTGCGTAATGAACCGTATAGGGCTATTTATTGGCTCTGGAGCATTCTATATTAAAATATGGATTTTGCGTAATGTAGTAATCCAGATGATCGCCCAGTTACCCAGAGTCCAAATGTAACTATATTGTTTGCATGTTGTATTTGTTTTATTTATTTTCACTAAAATTGAATTTATGTTGGTTTTATTTATTAAGAATGATCTTTTTGTATTAATTTTATTTAATTACGTTTTTTGGTTTAAATACTTTAATTTAAAAGAAATGTGAGGGGGGAGGACCATCCTGCCTAATGTTGAAAGTGATTATTTTAAAATATTTACTGGAAGGTGGTCCACTTAACCGCATATACCTTTGTTACACACACACACACACACACACACACACACACACACACACACACAGACACAGGATTGATCCTCAATACACCTGTGTGTAATTCAAAGCCAAATCTGAGAAGAAGAGCGCTGAGTGATTGTCTAACGAGAAAATTTGTACGTACTTCTAACCTGTTTCCCGTGTCATCCGTCTCCCCAGTGGGATCGATATGGCGGCCGTGCTGTGCAAAGTGGGCTTCAGCGAGGCGGTCGTCCAGTCTAAGATGGCAGCGGGGACGAGCACGTTCGTCTTGGCCTACGCCATCCACAAGCTCTTCGCTCCGGTTCGCATCAGCATCACTCTGGTGTCCGTGCCGCTCATCGTGCGCCACTTCAGAAAGACTGGTCACTTTAAACCACCCACGCCTGCACCCTGAGGACCCCCCACCCTGTCCTCTGCTGCCTCATCAAGCAGCAGACCTCCTGGCTCTTAGTAGCCACAGTCAAATGTACCCCTGATTCATTTGCCTTCATGTGAACATTTTCTTCATTGGTGCCAGTGGAATCAATGTGTTCAGAGTGGTGTTTTTAATGAGTGCGCATTCCAAAAAATACAAAGGCTAAAAAGCTCAACTATTTATTTACAATCAGTGGTGTGATCAGGGATTTTAAGCTCTTTCAGTGTGAAGGTCCTTTTGTAGGGTTGGAAAAAGCTGATGTCTCCTCCACGGTTCCTCGTCAGCTGACTGGGCCGTCGCTCCGGTGTTGCATGACTCAGCAGAATAATTCAGGTTCTCTCTCTGTCTCCTACCTCGCTCCTCTTTCTCTCCTCCCCCTGCTTCCTCGGACCCGCCTACGCCGTTTTTATTTCCTGCCGTGGTTTTGGCTTCCTCTCGACACCTCTCCCAGCATCTATTTCCATTCTTCTCGTGTCCCTCTGCTGTGCCGCAATAACCCCCGACTACGTCCATCTGAGAGTGAAGCCGCTTGTAGTCCAATGCAACGTGAAGAATGTTGATTTGAGAAGGTTTCTTTCCCCGAATTTGAATGGACTGTAGTTAACTATTAAAAAAAAACAGAATTTCTCTTTTAATATGTGGCGTTTTTCTTATGAAATACTACAATCCCACAGTGAGTCAAGACACCTTCCTCGATTGCCTTCCTCCTTTTCCGCCACACTGGGGAGCTCACGAACTACAAATATCCAGCTGCTCTCCCTCCATTACTGCAACAGTTCTCATCTCTCATAAGATTGAACGTCTTTGTACCCTTGATGTCTTCAAGATGGATATCAGCATTATATCACCAGAAGGAGCATCGCTCCTCGTGCGTCCCACAAACACACCATGCTAAATGCTTCCCAAACTCCTCTGTTGTTGTCGCGCGTGACAGATAGTCGTCTGCCACGCAACGGCCGAGGAGCTGTGCAAATATTGGGAGATTACTCAAAACATGAAAATATTTACTGAACTTCTTGTCACAGACAACCGGATGATGCTTCCTCTTGAAAGACTAGTCTGAAGAAACAAAACCATTATTAAAGGCTTCTACATAACATGACCACTTTTATTCCTAATGAGAACTTTTTATTTCTGGCCGTATGTAATCACAGCAGCCATGATGCAATTCTTAGTTAGGGTAGAACGACAGTCCACACGTGTATAGGTGTGTGTGTGTGTGTGTGTGTGTGTGTGTGTTGGGCGGGTAAATAATTCAGCAAGGGGACGTATAAGCAGAACCAAGAGAGTGCACGGTGGTCCGTGCCAGATATCGAACCCCCGCTTTTCAGAAAAAGGATTTTTGGCAGCACTGTGACACAAAGTGATACAAACTGATCTCTCTCACTCTCACACACACACACACACACACATCCACACAGAGGTAGAAGGAGAAGCCTGGGCCTCATTAGCCATGATGAGGACAGGGAGCTGCCATCGCCTCTCCATCCCCTGCATGTCCCCCATGGCTAAGAACAAATTGGTGACAGCGCTCCCAGCCACTCTGGAGCTTCCTGCGATGCACCGGGCTCCTCCACACTGCTGTCCATTTGCGTATTTGTGAGTGTGTGTCTGTGTGTGTGTGTGTGAGAGAGAGAGAGAGAGAACGCTTGACACCGAGGAAAAAGAAGAGAGAAGAAGATCAGCTTCACGGTCACGCTCCCCGTCACCTTTTAGCTCGACCCCAGAACCGGCTTGTGAGTCGAGTGAACACTTCGTCTGGTCGGCTCTGAGTCTTTATGAAGGGCCTCAGCACCACCAGGGGTTCAAAGGGGTTCGAATCCCAGCCGCTGCTCCTCACTACACAACAATTCTTTTGAAATTAAAGTCAGAAACACCTTGAGTGTCGCCGCGATCAGAGCAACACACGGCCTGAATACACACACACACACACACACACAACAAAGTGTGGATGGAGCAGATGCGAAACGCTGATGCACGCAGTGATATCTGAACATATGGCGCACACACACAAACACACACATATTGTCTTCACACACACACTCCCTGACAAGCCTCCTTTTCACCCCTTGCACCTTCAAATAATTGACTTTCGTCATTTCCACAGCACCGGTCCTGCTTCTACCCGCCTCACGACCCGCTCGGTACTCGTTAGTGTCAGAGTGCAGATGGAGAAGCACCTACTGCTTCATGCTGTGAGGTTCTTCACAGTGAGGGCTGCACACACACACACACACACACACACTTATTCCACCGCTTCTGTGCATGCTCTCTATATCCTCCGTATACGTATAAATAACTATAGGTGTATGTTTTGCTTTAACGCTTGTTCCCTCCTGTGTTCCGGCCACCCTTCTGCCTATTCCCCACCCCTCCTCCCCCCCCCCCGCTGGCGTCTCCTTCCACTCCTCCCTTCTCCACGTTCCTCCTCGCCCCGTCTCCGAGTTAAGTTTAGCAGATGCACCTGATGGCGGCATCATCCTGGAGCACCTGTCAGCTGTCTGCCTTCATCGCGCCTCCTCTGCTGCCACAGGGGCTACGGGGAAGTAAACCTGGAGACTGTCGCTACTATCAACAGCTGCATCTTATTATTTTAAGCACTTGGTGCCAGTCAGTTTCTGCCGGAGAGACGCGTGCGTTTACTTTACTTATTCTTGCACAGAACACCGCGCCTCCTCCTCCTCAGTCTCATTGCTCGTCGGGATTCAGACGCTCCGCTCTTAAATGTGAGCAATTATGAGCGGGCTGAGGACTGAGGCGAGGTTGGAGACGGAGAGGCAGAGCGGCTTTTCTTTCTGGCCTGTGAGTGAGAAGAAGAGGGAGAAGTTGTTGAGTGTTTTTGGCAGATGTGAGATTATGTTTTTGACTGTGTGGTACTTAACCTCTGCTGGCTGCCCGTCACGTGTCTGACAACGGGCCGCCGGGTTCATTCTGTCGGCGCCTTTTCAGCGCAGTGCTTGCAGTGTACTGCAGATTAACGCTCCCCTTTTAAACTCAAACCGTGGCCTCCATTTTGCCTTCAGTGGATTCACACTGACGTTAAAAGTACCCACCGGATTGGTTGACATTTAGTGATGCTAAGATAGAGACGTGAGTGCAAAAGGTCAATTAAACTGTCTGCAGCATCAGGTCAGTTTAAAAGGACTTTTAAAAGCAACGACGGAAACTAAATGTGTGACCTTCGGATTTCGGGACTACAAAAGGTCACCATGGACCTTTCTCCACTATGAGACTCACTGTGAGACAATGTTCAACCATGACTACGTCTAAATTCAAAGGCACAATAATAAAGATCGCACAAAAGTCCATGAAGAGGTTGCGGGACCCCCGATGGGAGCTGGCCGAAGCCACGCGACGCCTTCCAGGACAATTACCAGGTCAATTACCCTAAAGTGACTGCTCTGACACGTGTTAATAATTAAAGGCAAGCGGCTGTAAAACCAGCTACATGCACCTAAGCAAATATTAAAAAATCCCCTGGCTGATGGGATGGGGAGCAGAATGAAATCGAAAACTACAGCAGGCCGCGGCGGACCACCTACGAGGCGGCGCCCATCGATTGAAGACGGTTTGTCTGCACTTGGTAATGAACGCATCTCATAAATCCTCCTTAAATGATTCCCCCTTAAATGACTCCCCCCCCCAGCCCAGACTGTCTGCTCAGTGGAGGGCGCCCATGGATCAAACCATTAACAGGAAACCAGGCCTCGCGCGAAGGGCCACAAGCTCAGCCCCCCCCCCCCCCCCCCACCCGATCATCACCCCGCCCCGACCCACCACCCTCTGCAGACTGTAATGGAAAGCCCGCAGACAGACAATTTCTTTCAATTAGCCTAAACTGGCCGGCCCAATACATTTTAGTTTGTTCCTCAAGACGTAAGGGCCCTGTTGCATGTCGTGCTGAAAATGAAGACTAATGGCGTATCGTGGAGCTGCTGAGTGCTTGATTTCGTGCCACTGTAGCACTCGCTTGCTCTCCTTTTCTTTGGTTCGTTTTTTCCTTCTTTCCTCGAGTTCAGTGGAGTCAGTGCTGACCAGGCACAACAGCAATTTTGTATACATTTATTCACGGCCCGGATTCATTTTCTGTTTTAAGCATTATTCCTGAGTAGTTAGGCGGAGCTATTCATCACCGCGTGACAACAGCTGTGAACGTAACCATCGTTCACCGCCGCTGTCACCCCGGGTGAGGAAGGCTCCTCCACTCAGCTGCCTCCTGGACGTCGTCCCCTTTTCAAACAGCATGTTTTGTATCAGCTATATTCAAAACTCTTTTGTTTTTTTTCTTCTATTATACAGATCGGTGATTTTATGTATTTAAATGTTTAAACTGAAAGAGGCCTCTAACTTTTGGATTTGTTGTATCCTTTTTTTCTCGTCATTAAAAGTAGTAAAACCAAACTACACAATGAACTGAGTCGGGCCTGCGTTAAAAGAGCAGAAACATAAATAAATCAATCAATAAATACAATAACTAACTATAACAACAAATATAACACTAATGGTTTATTTTTTAATGTACGGTATTTGGAAGCAATACAACTTCTATGAAAATATTGTTACCACTGTGTTTTATTATTATCTAAGCTGCCACTTGCTGCATGGGTATCCACAAGAGGATTAATAAACACTTATATCTGCTTACATCTACATTATATTGCATAATAAATGGTTCATTAAATGTTTATATAATTTATTTAACGCTAAAACAACAGTTTTAGTATTTAACCAAGATTTCCTTTAGTTGATCACTCGTGGAAAGTGAGATCATAAAAGAAGCGAGTGTACATTGCTGTTAAAAATAGCTTTATTTCTGAAATATATTAAAATAAAAGTAGCCTGACATTTGTGAACCCAACACAAGTAAATGTACAGGTACCTTGAGTGGAGCCACGTTGGTTGATTTCCAATACTGGCCATAAAGCAGCAGGTTAAGTTAAAGTGAGATGAGACGACCGTCAACGGCGATGCCGATAACAACAATAAAGACGAATAATCTATCCGGCACATTTGCCGTCAAACGTTGATGTATGACATCCTCGGGCCTCCGCTGGTTGATGACGGGAGAAACAAAGTTGCTTTGTCATACAGAGAAATATTAACAAGTGACCAGCGGCCCGAGGAGACATTGATTTTACAATTCAGAACTCAATCAAAGAGAATTATGGATGGAAACACTGCTGTGATTTGCCTGTGCTGCTCATTAAGCTCAACATCTATAGTGTATATCCCCCCCACCCACCCCCGCTGGCAGTGTAGGAGTGAGATTTACAGGCTTAGGTTAAATACAGTTCAACACATGGGAGAGCTGCAGTCACATGATGGTTAATAAAAAGGCGTTAGGAAGGAAGAGGGGGATCAGAGAAATGGTGAGGAAGACGAAGTGGGACGGATGGAGAAGGAAAGAGAAAGTCCATTATTATAGGCCGAACAGATAAACTATGCATCAAAGTGTAGCGTTTAGTGAAAAAACATTTTTTCTGTGTGCTTTGAGGGCACGAAATGAGAGCGTCAATACGCATCAACACAACACTGCAGCAGCCAATGCGTTTTTTTCTTCTTCTTCTTCCTCTTCCTCTTCTCCCTAAGATTCCCAATCAGATCGGGTGGCTCCCCGCAGGCTTTTATGCCAGCC